ATTTTATCTATAGGTCTGGCTAATGCGTAGTTGACTACTGCTTCCTTGTGCATATGAACGGTATATGTTAAGTAAATGTCCATCCAGTTTGCGTTTGAATGCGTGTGTGGAGTTCGCCATTACGACCTCCTCGGGCAGTCCGTTCCAGGCACCGATGACTCGTTGTGAGAACGAATATCTGCGGACATCCAGACGGGTTAAGTTTCCCCGGAGTTTGAGAGAATTCCCACGGTTAGTTGATGTGGCGAACGTGAAGAAGTTGTCAAACTGAAGGGCACAGTCCCGATTCCTCACGATCTTGTACGTCTGTATGAGCTCAGCTCGGATTTACCTGTACTCAAGAGGAAAAAGGTTAAGTGCTTCTAGTCTATATTCGTAAGATGAGAACTTTAGGCCCTTCACGATTTTTGTTGCCCTTCTTTGTACTCTTTCCATCAGCTGGTAGTCCTTTTGCAGCCATGGGCGCCACGCCTGAACTCCATATTCGAGATGTGAACGAATAAATGTCCCGTATATTTTGCCGAATAGTTCTTTATCTGTGTTGACAAAAGTTCGCTTAATGGCAAACAGAACACTGTTCGCCGTCTTGGCAGCCCTTAGACACTGCAAAGACGACTTCAGGGAGTGCACAATAGTAATTCCCAAGTCTTTTTCAGTAGCTTTCGACAGGCACCTAGAACTAAGCCTAAAAGTAAACAAATATACAGAAAACTGCTCCGCTACACATAGAAAAGTGAGTTCTTTCATTGCCAGCAGATGATGTATCCCTTATTTTTAGGGAAGTCAAAAATGGCCAAGATTTCCCATTTTGACCTTGACTTAATCTTCAAAAAGGGTAAAGTACACAGATATTCGATGCAGAAATATTTAATTAAAGCGCTTTTTCAAGAGGTAACTTGTTATACAAAGTTTTTCAATTAATCTGATGAATATTCATTCGTTACTATTGTTGTGTACGTTAATTTTTCTCGGCAATGAGTTCATGTGTTTGGATGATACTAAGACCATGGCCCAAACAGACTGCTCGTCATTTAGGTAAATGCTTTTAAGAAATACCTTATTTTGAAGGTTTTGGTAAGCACATAGAATATAATCAATATTTATGGTTAATCGATTGAAGCCAGTAAAAATTGTTAAATGTTAGACACCATTTCAAGAACGATTTGAACCTCTTCATAATCGAAAACTCAAAATAATTACTAAGAAACGTGACGGAAAGAAGTTTCTCTTAGTGTACACAAAATGGTACGTTTACGATTTCACCTGACAATTACATTTAAATTTCTTGGTCACTGACCGGCGTGTCCGCACGTGAGCTCACGAAATATCTTACTCTCTTGACCTCTCAATCGGCGCAATCAAGCAAAAATCTGGTTGCCGTGGTCAAACGTAACACCAAGAAATTATAACGGAAAGAAACAACTGGCGATTCTCGTGAAACATTGTTGGAATACATAATCAAGCTTTGGACTGTTCGGTGACGGCCATACATTACATTGCACATATATGTGAGCATATGTAACCGAAAATTTTACAGAATGGTTATTTTCCAACGAAATTCAACTTGTGCTACCTTATTCACTCGGTTTTTTTGCACGAAAAGGCTTCCCTTACATTCAAAACTTAAGTTTTGGTCTGAAACGTTATCTCCGCCCTCCTGCCATACTCTGTCTAATAAAACCTTTATCCGCACTGCTGCACAGATCCGTTCCGGTATCTGGTCTGCTGGTGCCAAGGATTACAACGACAATGACGTTGCCATCTGCAAAAGGTTCCTCTTCTGTGCCATGGAAAATGCCCCACTGCCTACGGATGTCCAAGCCCAGGTCAATCATCTTCCGTCCATATTAAGGCAAGTTACTTTGACAGAGAAAAGAAATACCTTGCAATTGTGTCGTATATAATACCGAGCCGTTTCGTGGTAAGATAGTGAGTGTTCACAAGGGGCAGAAAATCTTGGAATTTTTAAATTAGGAATTGCTATTAGACGTTATTACTCCATTTGAGGGCGTCAGAATAAACAGATTTGTAAATTTACATTTTTAATGCACAAAACGTCTGTTTTTCTAGAAAATAAATGGTTTGCTTCAATGTCCCCTTCGTCTTCGCCATCACAGATTTCCTTTGCGGCTTCCGTAGTCGAGAGTCCTCGTTTTCCACGATAGAAAGTCAGGCTTTGAAGCCCTTTTTTATCCAAAGACATCTGAAATATACGAAGGAAAATGTGAAATTAGAACACTGCAAAAATTGCAAAAATATTCTTGAAGAGCGGGAATTTGCTCAAAAAACATAAACAGGCGATGCAGATATGGCCAAAAACGTGTAAAATCAACTTTAATTGGAAGTACAGTAGATTACATATCTGATGAAAGGTTGGGGGATTGAGGGGTTTAACACACATTTGAGGTTGTTTATTTAGTTCATCGGGTTGACTTGAGGCGCAAAATCCTGTTTACTAGAATTGCATTCCGTTCATATCAGTAGTTGGATAAAATAGAGGCGGAAATGGGCGAAATCTAGCGTTTGTTGATATCCGAGGAAT